GATGTGAAATCTCCCGATGTGAAAAGTTCACCGAACCGTCGCCAGATGTATTCTACGAACGATCGCTGGGATGCGCGTTTGACACCATCTTTCGACGGAAAAGAGAGGTTCTACTGAAAGTGCGAGCACCCAGTACACGGAAAACACCTGGTTATGCTGAAACCACGATTACAGAGAAAATTATCATACTGCGCTGCGCAAAAGTACTGCGAAAAAGTACTGCGCAAAACGGCACAGCGCAGTGGCTGGGGCTCAGAAAAGCGGGCGTGCTCAGGAATGAACCACGTAAAATCTAGGATAATTATTATTTTTGAGGGAGAGACGATACTACTATTACGACGCTTCAGAAACTCGGGGAATGAAAATGTTGCAGAAAAAAGAAAAAAAAGAAAAAGAAAAGGAATAAAAATAAAAAGGAAAAAAAGGCGCTGAAGAGAACAGGAGAGGGGGCAAATCTACGGTATGAGGTAGAATCAAGAATATTTTAACTTGTCAGTAAAACTCATGGCAAACTCAATGCAACTTGCTTAAAAAAGAGGAAAAAAGGAAAAGAAAAAAATGAGAAATAAAGAAAACAGAAAAGAACAAAAAAAAAAGGAAAGAAAAAAGTAAAAAAACAAAAAAAGTCAGCACTGATTGCAAGGGAAAATTGATTTTGCACGCGCAAAAAAGTAAAGGGTTGACGGAAAAAAATCTAGAGATACTGCGACTTTTTCTTCCCTTAAAAAATGTGATGGTGCGCAGAAGTTTTTTCCTAAAATTATACTGCGACGAAACACGAAACGAGGAAAAAAATTCGACCAATGTCAGAGTGCTTCGCTGTTTTTTAAAACTAACTCCGACTACATAAGAGGGTTGTTCACCACGGGTTCAGAAAGTACGCAGTTTCGAGCAACTAGGGATTCAGCCTACGCCCTACGACATTTCGCGTTCGCAGTATTTTTTAAAAAAATTCAACACAATCCCAGTAAATGTCTCGAAAATTTAACGCTTTCACAGTAATTTTTCTCAAAAATTCGGCACTTTAGCCGTAGTTTTCTAAAAAAAAAAAAAAAAAAAAAAAAAAAAAAAAAAAAAAATTAAAAACTTCCGCTGTAATTTTCTCAAAAATTCAACGCTTTCGCACTAATTTTCATCAAATATCAACATCCTTGTCATAAATTTTTGTAAAAATCAGTGCGTTGATCGTTCACTCTTTTTCTCAACAAAACCAACGTTTTTATTCGTGTTACCGAACGTGTGGTTACACGAACTGAAAGCTGCATTTGATTTGACGAACCTATTCATTGGGATGATATACACCATGCTCTCCTTCAGTTTGTGGGCATGCAATTTTACCTACTCGAGAGTCGAAATAGTTGTATCACATGTTTCGTCCCATCCAACTTTTCTACTCTGCGTTAGAGTCTCTGAATCAGCCGAAAATAGTTCACATTCTCCTTCATTTCGTGGATATGCAATTTAACCTACTTAGAAGTCGAAATAGTTGTATTACGCGTCTCGCCGAAGCTAGTTTAAGTGTCCTTTTGCCGGAATTTCGGATTCCCTTTTCAAGAGCAGTTTCCCCTATTTTCCCTGATGAATCCTTGTTATCCCGCTCTGAAAATAAAGTCACGACTTGGATCTAGAGTTAAGACTCTTCAGATGATTGACCTGAAAAAAACTCTTGATCCAATCGAGAAAAGAGTCAAAAAGTTTCTTGGATCCAAAGTACACACTTAAAAAATTAGACAAGAAATAAGGCTCGCGATTCAATCGGATTTTAGCTTGAATCTTTTTGATTCAAGCGAAAATCCGATTGAATCTTGAGACTTTTTCCTTGTACAATCTTTTAAGGGTATGAACTTCAGCTCCGAGAAACTTTCTTTTCCAGTGCGGTAATTGCGCTAAACGTTTATCATGACAGTCTCTACAATATAAAAATCTGGCAACCTCAATCTTGACGCTTTGGCTCAGCTATAGCAAATTGCTTATAGTTTGAACAACACATGTTGGGAAATGAAAATTGCTCGATTGAGAAGATTGCTGAAACCGTTGTAGTGCGCGATTTGACTCACGTAGAGCTTTGAGTTTCTTATGAGCGGGCAGTTCAAATTCTTCGTCAGCAACGTGAAATAAAAACGTTGATATCTTCGTTAGGAGTTGGTTTCAGTCATTTTCGGTTAAGAAACATGTATCAGAATCCTTTAATTCGTACCTTGTCTATAGTGGTCCATTATCGAGATTTGGCAAATTTCAAAAATTTGAATTTCCCGCTCAAATTGCGACAAAAATGACAAAATTCCGGGTCTTCCAGCGGAATTCCGCACTTTTTCAGTGCTTCCGGACCACCCTTAAAAAATGAGTACTTTCCGGACTTCTAGACACTCTGTTGCATACTTTCCCGCCCTACTTTTCCGGCTCATTACAATGCCCGAATTCCATCGGTGAAACAAACCTGGCGAGCGTTCCACGCATTCGTAGACTTATCAGCGAGTACATTATCATAAAATGCGTGGCACGCAGGCGGTGGCGGTGGCGCTTGTGCGAGTGCGACAACGTCAGCTAATTTTTGAAGGCCAAGGCCGCGCGACTAGGACGACGAAGCGACGAGCAACTCGGTGACAGAAGTGTAGTGAGTTAGTGAGAGTATGTGACTCGACTCCCACGGTCGCCGCGACCCATTTTCCTGGCACTTCCGAGCTCGCCTTGCGAAGCTCCAGCGCGGCCACCGAACGTGCGACCGGAAAATTCGATCCCAGTCTGTCGTGATAGCGAAGAGAGCAATAAGTGCATGCTTAAAACAAAACGACGTATGAACCTTCAGGCATGGCCGAATTTTTTTTGATAAAACATACGAATTCCCTCATACGAGTAGACTTTAGAATATTTTTCTTCCAATTTTTTAGAGAATGGAGATGTTGCATGTGTGAGGAATTTGCGATTTGACTGTTAATTCTTACGTAAAAGTTCGCGAGAAACACGATGGCGCTACTGGTTTTCTCTGAAATCAACTCCCAAGCTGAAAAAAAGCTCTCAACATGAGGCCAAAATGTACGGGATACCCCACACTATCCTGAGAGTCCTCTATACATCAAGACGAACTCTCCATGCAAAGATAGGGAGCAAATACATTGCAGGGATGCCAGGTTTTCAGTTTTCGAGTTCCCAAATAAAGTGGCAGCCCTGACAATGTATTTGCTCCCTATCTTTGCATGGAGAGTTTGTCTTGTTGTAGAGGTGGACTCTCAGGATAGCGTGGGATATACCCTCCATTTTGGCCTCATCTTGAGAGCTTTTTTTGAGCTTGGGAGTTGATTTCAGATTAAAAACCAGTGGCACCATCGTGTTTCTCGCGAACTTTTACATAAGAATCAATGGTCAAATCGCAAATTCCTCACACATGCAACATCTCCATTTTGATTTGAAGTTCCCGAAAATTTCAATGAAAAACATTCATAATTTTTCTAATAAATAAACATTTCATTGAAGGAAACTTGGCAACTCTCAAATGTTCATACGGCGTTCTTCCTTAACACGGTAGCATACTGAGAAGGATCTCGAGACACATGATGCATGTGATAACCATGGTTCACGAAGAATTTCACTTACTGCTCTCTTCGCTATCACGGCAGTACTACGGAAACTTGCGACGACGAAATTGTGTCGAACCTTGAGGAACTTGGAAGAATTTGTATTTTCTATGGTCGCTTTTCTTGCGAGAAAAAATAAACAGATCGTATTGAAAGTGAAAGGTAAACATTAAACAGAAACATCGACGTTCATAGATACGAACGAAGGACTTAAGGGGCCGCTCTATATACGCGGAATGAAATTTTACGGAATGGAACACGGAATTTGGACTTCTTAAATCAAAAAGAGCTCCATTATGACATGAGTCTTGTCATTTATGTATTCTTATAGACCTCAGGGCACATGTCAGTCCAGATTAAGTTCCTTTTGATTAAAATAAGTCCCTTTCTATTTGCTAAAAAATAAAATTTCATGGGCAATGAAATTTCAACTATATTTCAACGCACATGCAAGAATTATCGGATATGAAGCTTCGAAATTTGACTCATATCATATTCAAAATTTCAAAATTATAATTTTACTGTTCCCATGCGTTTCATAGTATACTGCGTAGAAAATTGCTAAGATTTTAAAACTATTATGAAATTTCGCATCTCTGAGCTGTACACACAACACCCTCGGGGCTGTTCATAAAACATGCAACTCTCCAGAGGAGGAGGGGGGGGGTCTGCGCTTGCGTTACGGATGTATCACAGGGGCGGAGGAAGGAGAGGGTTCAGGACTGCGTTACGTAGCGACAGGGTCGCTTTAATTTTTTCTCTTCGTAATCCCTGACTTTCCCCCGACTTTCTTGGCTTTTACCTGATTCTAAAATTGTCCAATTCCCTGACCTTCATTTCTGACTTCTTTGGGATACCATCTATCCACCTTTCAGCAATACGCCCTCTACGACACCAAACCCTTTAGTCCGCGCCTCATGTCCCTTTTAAAATCATTCATGTATTCAATCTTGCATCGTTCCTTCCGACATAGACGTCCAATTTCGAAAGGTTCTTGCTTTACTCCAACGGCATCCGTATCCTCCATCTGGATACAAAGACGGATTGTAAATCGTCGTTTCCGTCACGAAACAACGTAATTAAACTTCAATGTTGCCAAATTTCCCATCGCAAATTGCATTTTTACAAAGATAATATTGGGCGTTTCTGACAGAAAATTTCCGTAGTTTTTCCTCTGATACCAAACAATAATCAAAAAATCTTTCGGGGGAAAATTGCACAAGTACATTCGTACGAAAAACAGAGTTGTCTGAGTCAATTTGGCAACCTGGGAATGGCGTTACGTTCCTTTGGCCAGGACACGACGAAATATCGCCCCTTCGAATGTACATATATTCGAAGCGCCCTTCACCGCGGTGTATAAAGCGACCATAAACCAAGCAAAAAGCCCCGGGTGACCCCGGACGAAGCGTTACAACTTTCACTCACCAATTATTTCGGTGGCGATGATGCATGAGTTTCGCAACGCACGGCGAAAATAGGAGTCGTCGCGAGGGTCTCAAGGCCTGATTTCCAGAGGGCGCTAGGCGTCGATCGCGAACCACAACACTTTTTGAAAGTCCTAGAAACCGGACCAACTTTCTCGCGAAACGAAACGATCCACGCACGATCGAGCTTAGAGCCAGGCGGTGTAGTCCGACGGGAAAATCGGAGTCGGAGAATCGCGTACTCTAAACCCGGAAATCGGATTTTGGGACATAGGAAAATAGGTGCAACTTCCACGATCCAGGTTAAGTACCGAAAATTCGGGAATTTCAAGCGATAGAAACTTCTCGAGTGCAGTTTCTGGAATTCGCGTCGGAATTCTGATAACACTCGCGGTGAACACGTGGAAATATTACAAATTTAAAAATTTACTGAAGAGCAATTTCGCTGGCGAGAAACTACCCGGGCTCAAAGATTGAAAAATGTAATGTTAGGCTGGCAAAAATACACGACTCCAAAGCACTTTCGCTAGGTATCAAAAACTACCAATTCAAAATGCAGTCTCGCTGAAAAAACACTCTTCGACGAACAAACCACCTCAAAATAACTTTTTATTTTTAAAACAAAAAAAAATCCGCAGAAAAAATTGACTGAACAGTTTTTGAACAAGTCACTGAACAATTTCTCAGCGAAAATCAAAACAAACACCAAGAATCCAGCTTATCAGTCACCGGTTATAGACCCGAACACCAACACTAAAAAATCAGTCACCGGGGGGAGCTCGGCGCTAACGCACCAGATAACCACGAAAACTTCTTTAAAAATCGGCCGTGAACAACGAAAATCGACCGGGAAACTCGCGACTGAACGTAAATAAACACGTAGAAATCGCGGCGCTCTGCGCGACACGTCTGCTCCGACTGGACGACCAACTTCGACTAGCGGCACTCGGCAGTAGCGGCAGCGGGCGGTGGGGCTGGCGCTTGAATGGAGTGTCTCGGAGCATCCGAAACAGAGTCCAATCGGGGCACCCCCCCCCCCCCCCNGATCGGGTGGGCGGGGGGAGGGTGCCACTGACGCCACCGCATCCAACGCACCGCTTTGCATAATTTCAGTGACGTCACGGACTCCGCGACGTGCGACGTGTCGCGGGAGGCTGCGCTCCGCGCTACCGTCCGATTCGGGTGTTTCGACGTCTCCCGCGCTGCTGGCCGTTAAGGGAAAACGCCGTATGGGCCAACAGACGTTGCCAAATTTCCATGGCTTATTCCAGGGTGTCTACAAAAACAGGCTGGCCAAAAATCAGTACTTTCTCAGTACATTCCCAAAAAATTCAGTAATTCCTCAACAGAAAAATTAAGTACTTTTCCAGTATCTCCAATTGACGAAATTCAGCGAATTTCAAAAATTTGAAAATCCCGCTCAAATTGCGACAAAAATGACAATAAAATGTAAAAAATCCGGACCTTCTTGCAGAGTTCCGCACTTTTTCAGTACTTCCGGACCGCCCTTAAAAAATCAGTACTATTTCCGTACTTTCCGGAAATTCCGGACTTGTAGACACCCTGCTTAGTCACGAATTTTTTAGACAATTCTTAAATGGATCGTATTTGATGGTGGTTCGAGGTATCGTTTGGTTCAAAACAACAGAAATCAGAATTTTAGGATATTTGTCAGAAAAGCTGAAAAGGAGAAATTTCCTAGCGATTTCACTACTCTTCAGGGTGTCTACTAAATCAGGCAGGTCAAAAAAAAGTGCTTTTACAGTACTCTCTCAGTAGGTACATTCTCGAGAAATTCAGTACCTCCTCCAACAGAAAAAATCCGTACTTTTACAGTACCTCCATTAGACGAAATTAGAAAAAATTTCTAAAATTTGAAATTACGACAAAATTTTTTAAAAAAATCCAAACCTTTTTGCGGAATTTCCGCACTTTTTCAGTACTTCCGGACCGCCCTTCTATTTCCGGACTTGTAGACACCCTGCTTTTGACAAATCGTACGCATACAAATCAAAAATCCACCACACAAAACCCGTTCCGTCAGATTAATCAATTGACTTTTGAGGCTATGTTTATGTTTTGAACTAAACGATATCGATACAATCTTACCCGTTTGATATATCGAATACGATCTGTTAGTTTTCTTCCGATTTTTCGGAGAATTTTGCTCGTAATTGGGACCGAGCTTATCGGAGAGGAACCAACCCACATTTTCGAAAAAATTGAGTTCAGGATGTTTTTAAGCTCCAATTGAGAATTTGCATGCAAATTTTTTATTGCTTCATCTGAAAATGCTTACAGAGCTGATTTCATAAATTTTTTTTATAATTTTTATCTGTTATAGGAAATAGTATAAAAATAGATTTCACAGTGAGAAAATGCACCGCCTAGTAAAGTCATCTAGCGGCATTTCCCATTTAAACAGACGTATTTTTGAAGATTAGATCATTTTGTCATATCTTCTCCAATAATTGTTCAATTCATGAACCAACGGTATCTTCGTGTTCAGTTCGTTCAGTAGTTTCCACTTAAACACGAAATTCATCAAATTTCAGACACCTGCAAATTCTCTATTATTCCTCCTGCTAAAAACTCAGAGTCACGAAGCAACCTGCTCAAAAATTTTACTGCGTAGTTAGCGAAGTCAATCATGTATACATGAGGTCACCGGTGGCATGCTTTGCGATGTATCGATTGATCTGCCATTTAAACCTATGAAAATGATCGATAAACACGGTATTCGCTACAAACACCTTGATGATCGATTTTTTACCATAGTTTCAAATGGGGAAATATCGATAATCGATCGCGCCTCGCTACTGGAGGTAATGGAAGTCACCGGCATGTGCCTCTTTTTTCGTCCTCTTACTATGCAGCGATGGCGTAACAACGTGTTTCGCGGCTGGATCTTCGATTTTCAATGAATAATCAGGAAAAATGCCGAGAAAAACCGAGGGGCTTTCATTTCGAACTGTATTTTAATAACCCCAAAGACTTTGAAAAACCCGAAACCCCAGAATAAAAACTACTTTTCGCGAGGCAAAACCAACGCTGAGCACCGATTACGAAGCCGTGATCGGCGGGATTTTGAGTGGAGGTCATTTACATTCAGCGAGAGTGAACGACATTAGCATTGCGCCATCTCAAAGTCGCCGATTAGTCAAATTGAGCCGCCTCAAAGGCTGTCACTATTTTGGGAGATCAAAGCTTCGTCGGTTTGACATTGTTGCCGTAATTTTATTTGGACGAAATTATTTTAACGGAGCATTTCTGGACGAAGAAGATGTATCCCAGTTAACTTGATGACGTCATATAGGTTTCAGGTAAACCATAGTAAAATAGTACCGTATTCATAGTTGGACTACATTTTGCAATTTGGACCTATAGATTCTAGCCTGGTTTAAAAACAACGTATGTGCCATTAGTTTCGCTGCACATAAGTGCTTTTCCAGAGGAGCCAGACTTTATAGTTTCAAATTGCAAAATGCAGTCCAGTTGTTCCTTAAAGCATCTCACCTTGGGAGAATCAACGTCGCTAAAGTTGACACAACTGTTAAACTTGACACAAAAACTTTCGAGATAGATCATTGCTCGGGATAACAATAATTTGACTCTACAAAAGGACATTTGATAGGTTTTAACAAGTTCAGGTTTGTATCTGTAGCAGGCAACCAGCAGTTGTTATTGCGGTAAATCACCATCAATTTTTCGACACGGTTGAGCTGATTAGATATAAGTAAGAATTTGTTCATGTTTCAGGGATATAGTGAGATAAATAGAGCAAAATTTAGGCTGCCTTCACATGTGGAAGTTCAAAATTTAAAAGACATCAGCGAAAATTCTGGTAGAACTTTTAGTATAGCTTCCATTATTCTAAAACTTGATTCACCATAAATTTTCTGAATAAATAAAAAAAAAAATCCCTGTTTTTCGATTTCCCTGACGTTTTTTTGACACGAAAATAGCTTGCAAAGTAAAATTCCCTGACATGCCGAATTTTTACGGATTCCCTGACGTTTTCCCTGACACACACACACACACAAAATGCCCTGACATCTCCCGGTTTTCTAGGTCGCTAGACGCCTTTCATACCAGAAACTTTCTACTTTTTGAAACTTAGGGTGCTGAACTCTTCAATTTTTGAAATTCCATGGTCAGCATTTCGAGAATTTCCTCCTCCACGCATTTGAAAAATGTATTTTTTTAGCTACTTTTCACACGAGTCGACTTTTTCCCCTCTTTTTCTTCGCTTTAGAAAAAATCCGGGACAAACGGAGCATTTTCAATAAAAGCGGCAATGCGACAAGAGAACGGGGAAATTTTTCCGGGCGAAGACCCCGAAAATTACGGGGCAAGATTCGTCGCCAGCCTCGAGGAGGAAAGTCAACGCGGCCGCGGTTTCGCACGGGCGAGAAATCTATTTCTGCACTTTTAATACGCATGAATAAGCATGAATCTATCCCGCCGAAAAAAGCACATGAGCTCACGAGGAAAGAAAAGAGGGAATTAATGAGCTGTATTCTGCAAGAAAGCGCCATTTTTATGGTCGGATCAATTACCTCCGTACCACACGGCTTACGCGCGACAGTTTAATTACTGCGCTCTTACGCCAAAGCAAGTGCATAGGGCATGTCGTGATAGCGAAGAGAGCAGTAAGTGTCAAATTTTCTAATTCGAGTTACCTTCAAAATTCGTCTTAACTCTTTCAGATGAAATCGTTAAAATGGCTTAAACAGCAAAATTTTTCTTATTTTAATGAAAACGAGGCACATGGGAAAGCCGCAAGTGCGCAAAAAAGACGTAGTTTCAGACAAAACAGCCGTAAGTGACATTACTCCTCCAGAGAGCCAATGAAAACAGTGCAGTAAGCAATAAAGTAAAATGCAGCCCACTTTGGTCAATTTCTAACCTGAAAATGTGTTTGTTGTATATCCTAAGCGCAACTACGAAAGCACGCAGAAGATAGATTTTACCGCTGTCTTGCCTTACTGAGTAGAACCCTTTTTGTGTAATTGGAGTAAAATTAGTCGATTTTTATCATCCAAACGATTTCTAGAAGTCTTCCTGACGATTAATGGCGATTTTACAATGAACGGAGGCTTCTTTTAATAAAATTTTCCGATCAGAAGCTTCTGAGCTTGTTTCCTCAAAACTTCATTTTTGAACTTATCTTTTTTTTCTTTTTCACGGCAGAGGTTTCCCACAGACTTGAGAAAATGAAATTCCCTAATTTCCCGAACAGATTTTAGTAAAATTCCCTGACAATTGAGCGAACGGTTAAGAAGACATAATTAGAAATAGTTTTCAGGCAAAATTTGTTGTTCGAAACGTCAAACCCATTCTAGAAAAAGGTGACATTAACAATGGTTCAGTTGTGCTGGTCTCAGAATTGTGTATTGATGCTTGGTGTCGATCCGCTAAAAATATGAAGATCCATCCAAACAGCAAAGTTCTATGTTCCATATTAACCGAGCTATCGTGCATTGAAAAATTCGGTTTAAGACGGCGTCTCTTCAAAATGCACTGTCTATAATTGTTTAGCATGATGGCATGGAACATTTAAAAACGAGATAGTTTTTCCTCTAAATATGAGACACTTTGCCGACAAC